GAGACAATCCCACAGGTTTAAGAATTCTCTCTTCCTTTAGAGCAGTGGCTCTAAATCAAAATTATACACACAAACGCATACTTCAGTAATTATGAAAGGACAATAAAAGGAGAAAAAAAGGAGTCAACAGTAAAAGGAAAAAAGTCATCAACCAACAAGCAAACTATAATCTAATTCTTTGAACTAAAAACACACTTTTTGGGTTACATCCAAAGGTAAATATGCAGATTTTCACCCAAGTCAGCAAACCCTATTTAAAATATGAACAAAGCCCTGACTGGTGTGACTCAGTGGAATGAGTGTCACTCCACAAACTGAAAGGTCACTGGTTCGATTCCCGTTTAGGGCATGTGCCTGGGTTGTGGGCTAGGTTCCCAGTTAGGGTGATCGAAGAGGCAACCAACAGATGTTTCTCTTGCACGTCAATGTTTCTCTCTTTCCCTCTCTTTCTCACTCTCTAAAAATAAATAAAATTTTAAAAAATCTTTAAAGAATGAAGATAGAATCATATTATCCTAAGAAATTTACTGTTTATGAATAGAAAAATAAGCACAAAGAGCCAAAGAATTCTCAGGTGGGTACTAGAATTATTGGGGGATCACTTTATAATCCTCTAATTACCTAACCACTATACCTGAAACTAAAATAATAATGAATGTTAGCTGTAATTTAAAAAAAAAGATTCAAAGAATTCATCTCCATGATCCTGGAAAATTATTCCTCAAGCAATTTTAATTTACACACACATTCAAAGGTTTTGTTTTAAAAGCAATGTTTGTTCTTATTTTTATGTTCCATTTATCTTAAAACGTCACTTGCAGAATTTTAATACAAGGAAAATAAAAGATAATGCTTTTTAAAATTATTATTTTGTAGCTTCAACAACACTGACAGGTCAAATCTGTTCAATGATTTCTTAAACAAAAAATTCAGAAACTAATATCAGCTTTTGGTTAAGAAAATCAGTAGCTACCTTACATAAAATAAAATTAGTAAAACAAGCATTTCATTCTGTGTATTATGTTATTATAAATTATTAACAAATTTATATTAGGCATTTTAATGTCATTAAATTTAAACAACATACAAAGTACATTTACATGAGAATTCTATACCAGAGATATTGAATTTGTGACTTGCAACAGCATAAAAAAGGGAAAAAAAAGTTGTGAAGACAAAGTGAGCAGGAGGAAAAACTTTTGACTGTCTTTCAGAATAACGGCTCATGTATTTCTCAAAACAATAAAAGCTATAGTTTTTCATATTAGTTCTCACTAACTAACATAAGCTAATTGTGTAAGTGTTTAATATGAAAAACTATGGAGATTTCTAATTTGGTTGCATGTTATTTTGTCCTTATTTCAGACATTTGTGGTGTCATACCAATGTGCACAACAGAGTGATAAACACTATCTCATTAGACACTTGTGGCTGTTACACCAATGTGCACAACAGGGTAATGAACACTATCTTATTAGACGTCCTCCATAGGGAAGTGAAGAAACTGTCAACTCATTTCACTAAAGTAAACATATTATGACAATGTTTCCAGGAGCTTTCCTTTTTTGAATGCTAAATTTAAGCCTGGGAAGAGAGCAACTACAATAAATGAAAGTCCCTACAGGTTAGCTTTTTATTACATTATCTAATTATTATTCTATACCAAATTAAAATTGTATCTTTTAACTCCATTTGATTTTGATTTTGAACCAGGATAACCAACATGTAAGTTAATTGTAAAATAACAATTGCTATGCTGAACTGGAGTTTTCGAGACTGTGTATTATTAAGAAATATTTAAGCAAGTCATATTATGAGTTCTAAAAATGAAGTAAAAGCATTCACAAATCAAAATAATATACAAACTCAATAATAAAAGACAAACAAATCCAATTTAAAAATAGGCAAAAGATAGGAATTGAAAGTTCCAAAGAAGATCTACAAATAGCAAAAAAACTCATGAAAAGATGTTTAACATCATGAGTCCTAGAGAAATACAGATCAAAACTACAATCAGATGCCACTTCACACCCAACAGAATGGCTATAATAAAAGAGACAGTAGCAATGTTGACAAAGATATGGAGAAATCCACATCGCTCATATTGTGTTGATGGGAATGTAATAAAATGATATAGCCACTTTGGAAAATAGTAACCCCAAAAGAAATAAAAACATACATTCCCACAAAAAAATAATACACAAATGTTCATAGCAGCATGATTCCATATCCTAAAAGTAGAAACCAACTGTCCATCAATTGATGAATGGATAAATAAAATATGGTACATGCATAAAATGGAATATTATTTTGCAATAAAAAGGAACGAAGTATTGAAATATGCTAAAATACAAATCTACAGTTTGGGAGTGAAAAGACTGACTGCTAAATGAGTATTGGATTTCTGTTTGGGGTTGATGAAAATGTCCTAAAATTGATTGTGGTGATGGTTGCACAACTGTGTGGATAGAATAAAAACCACTGAATTGAATTGTGTATTTGAATTATAAAACTGTTAAAAATTTTAAAGCAAAAACTAATCAAGACATAAAACTTCTATAATGACTATGTAGTTCTTTTATACTCAGTGAAAAATAGTATATATATTGCTTAAATCATGATCATCCTTTGAACACATTATAATCAAATCTGTGGAGCATGCAACATAGACTCCACAAACATGTTGGCAAAGTCATACTTGGAGAATCAATTCTACTAAGAAAAGAGAAGACTGAGAAGGGAGGACCTCTTTAATATCCTGAACTTAATGTTATTGAAGAGAGAGCTTACCTGCTTTTATTTGTGAGGCATACTAGTTAAAATAAATAGGATCACAGATAGTGCTTCTTCCTTATAATATTAATAGAAGAGAAACCACGTGTAAATAAAGTGTGGGAAAGATGACACTAGTGCTTATTAAGTAATTTTAAATGGATGTGATCCCAACAAGGTACAGTATCACACTCTAAAGGCTGCAATAGTTGCTTCCTTTACTTGTTCACCCTCTCTAAAATTTACTTCTAAGCTGAGAAAACTTTATTAATTCATTTTAATTTGTGATAAAGAGCTGTGTGGAGACGAAGCTGAAAGAAAGTGTTACGGTGTTTTTGACTGAATACAGACAATAATAAATCTCTCACAAAGTAAGGCCAGGATACATAACTGGAAGAATCTTGTATTTTAATATTAGTTTGCATCTTCTTTTAAGGAATTGTGTTGGTCTTCAGGCTAAACATTTTTTTCATCTTATTGTTGAGAAAGCCAATTGAAAGTAAACAGAGCAAAAATAAAATGTAGCTCAGATTGTGATCTTCACAAACTCAAATCAAGTTCAGATTAATTTTTATTACATTTCCCTTCATTTCCCCTCATTTCCCCTTCTGCATTTGCTTGAGAATTCATTCCCCTAAACAGAACTAGGTGCACTGGTCTCTGGTACTGGTTTTATAACTGGTTTTCTTAGGAACCACAAGTTGAAGCTTTAACCTACTTGGTAGTTTGCACTTCTAGGATTGGGAAACTAAGAGTACGTAACCTGTAGTACTGGGCCAACAGACAGAAAATTTGGTGGGAGTAAGAGAAAATATTATTTTGAGGTAAACAACACATTAGTTATCAAATGGACATTAACAGGAGACATGGAGATGGAATAAATCATGATTACCATCTAACTGTTTACTCATAACACTGCTTTTTATTTTTTCAATATTTTTGATACATGAAAGGCCAATGAGGGCTGAAAATCCTTGGGTGGTTGTTATGTTAAGCAGAAAGTACATTAAGCCTGACCTAAACAAGTCAGTTAAAAAAAAAAAAAGACATCATTCATCAGTGTATTTCTTTGAACTTTTCACCTCTACTCCTGTCACTTATTCCACCCACTCTGACTTTAGTGTCCTCATTAATTTATCCAAAATAACTTCTCACTGACCAACAGTCCCAGAGTGCTCCGCTAAAATTTTGTTCATAACTTCAGATTACTGACCCATGATCAAAGGTCACTCCCTTCCAAGTAGCTTTTTAAATTGAAGGCCTTAGATGTGGGGCCTCAGTTGTTTTGGTCCATTCATAATCATTAGGGACAATCTGTTTTAACGGGTGTTCCCTGTCTTTGAAGAAAGAAGCCATGAGTTTATTAATCATCTTACAACTTTGCTACTTACACGAGAATACGCGTATTACAGTTTTAGTATAATACTGGGTTGGAACGGTTTAAGTTTGGGGCATAACTCTTCCCACTATGCAGTGACCAAACCTAACATTAACTTCTGTTTGTTGAAATCGGCTCTCTCCAAGTTATATAATATTTGTTCTCCACCCAACTACCCCCAACTCCTAAAAAAAAAATTTTTGTAATCTCCCAGCCTCCACTACTACTTTCTCACACTGAGGAAACGTGTCGAAACACTACTTTCCACACATTCGTCAACACTGCTGACTGCCCAAACAGGTGTAAAAATGCACTGAAGAGAGGAAAGAGAGAGGACAGTACTTTTGCATCAGAGCAGTGCCAGAAACAACGTATGGACTCGGTTAAAAGGGTGGTATATTTCGGTGGAAGAGCCAGTGCTCTGCTTATCTCAGGAAAAGCAATCAGGGAAGAGAAAGTAGGGAGATTTTACCCAAAACACCAGGAAGTGTCTTTCCCTCCCCTCTTGCAAGACCTGGCATAAAGTACAAAGGCCCTTGGGTCGGAGACTTATTGGCAGTGTAGGGGAAAGGAGTAATAATAAAGAGCTATTGGTTCTCCTGGGCAGAAAGGGGCTGTAAAGGTGGCTGGTGCACCGCGTAGCTCCGGCGGCTATTTGACGATAAAGAGGGAAGGAATGGGGCAGGACCAGGGGCCTCCTCGGACCGCTCCCACTGTGAGGGGCTGGAGTCACTGGCGCGGTGATTACCCCAAGTCAAGACCGGGAAGCTCCGGGATTTCCAAGAGTACGTTCTCCCACGGGGCTCGGCCTGCGAGCGCCGGATGTGCCCGCCCGGGTCCCGGCACTCACCCCCGCGGTCTCCTCAGCCGAACATTCCAGCAAACTCTGGTCGATTGCCGGCACCTCCGGCTCTAGCTCCGACGCCATCTTCCCTCGTCCTCCTCCCCAGTGCTGACGCCGCTACCGCCGCCCCAAGGGCCGCGACCTCGCCACGGCCCCGGTGGCCGAGATCGCCACCTCTGCCCAGGCAGTCTGTCCGGAGCTGTCCAGGTGGCGGCGGGTGTAGAAGACGGGAAGATCGTGAGGTTAGCAGGACAAGAGGGACGCCGGCCTCCGGGGCTCCCTCCTGGGCTTAGCGCCCAAGAGTCAAGTCCGCCTCGTCCCTCCTCCGGGGAAGGACACAGAACACCCGGGCCTGACACTCTTTCTCTCAACTGTGTCCCGCACCGGGAAAGGGGCAATAACACCCAAAAGAGGAAGTAAAGCTTTCTGGGAAGTGTAGTCATCCTCGGCAGGGCCGGGAAAAAGTTGTGCCCATATAGGGTACACCGACTGGTATTATGGGAACTGTAGTCCAGCTCTTAACGGAAGACTGGGCAAATGGCAGGTAAGTGGGTGGGCCTTTTCTGCACAAGTAGAAACATGGGAAAAGAATAATGGAAAGAAGAGCCCAGCTGGGATGAGGCGACAGAGCAAGATGTTGTGGGAATTGTAGTTTTATTCCTCCAATCCTATTTGTTCGTTTTTGTATCCGCAGATTGTAGAACAGTGCCTGGCACGTGGTAGACATTCAAACACTCTGCAAAGCCTTGCTTTTGGTAGGCTCTCAAATACTTGTCGAATGGTTAATGAATTATGTTCTATTCCTATAGTTTTACAGTCCTGTCATTTATCATCCCCTCATCCTTTAGAGGAGTAGTGGAAGTGAACATTACCCAAGTTTTTGAAGGTTTACATGTTTAAATGCTATTAAAGAAAACATTTCCAAGCTAGATATGACTACCTACCAAAATTTATTACAAGTCTTGCTGCAAAGGAAAAGGAGTCTACCAAGCCAATTCAAAGATTTACTCTCGATGGGGTCGTTTTACAAATAGATAATTGTTAGATTAGATACAAAATAAAATTATATTTGGTTAGAGATAATTAGGCACTTGACTGAGAATGAATGGGTTTCTTAGAACTAGTCTTGAATTCCTTTTGAGTTTATCAGAAAGTTACACTTTTTATCAGGCATGCTAATTTATTCTCAGGAGATTGTAAATTACATTAGGAAAAAAGAAAGGTTCTGACCCAGTCCCGATTTGGAACATGTTGTTGTTGTTGTTAACAATACTATCACATTAAGGAAGTTCTTTAAGGAACTAGAGATCACCCATAAATTTATAGTCCAAATAAGCTTTGTTATCACTTGTAAAAATATGCAGTTTTAAGGTTAGAAATTCAAATTCAGTAGGAATATTTTTAAAGGAAAAATAAAAACTACCCTTCCTCCAGAAAAAAGTTCCTCCCCCAAAGAAAGTCATTTTTCATATTTTCTTCTGATTATATTCAGAAAAATGTATGCATACATCTGCACAGTTATCTGTAATGAGATATCTTAAAATGATCTTCTGTGTGTTAACTTTCTTCTTTACCCAACTTCCTTGCACTGATTCACCCCTAGTCAGAGTCAACCTAGAGGAAAACTGGGGTTGTTACAATCCGGAAGCAAAGACAGTACCACTCTAGGTGTCCTAATATGGAATTAAAGACAGTAAGATAGATTGTAGGAAATTTTCTGCTCTTAACATTATTATTTTTTTCCTTCTATTACTTTTGGATTAATTTTAATGTTATTTTTTTTTAATTCTCAAGTTGGATGTTTGCTACCAATCTTTTTTTTTCAATGTGTTCCTCTAAGGCAGTGATTCAAAAACTTGAGCATGCATCAGAATCACTGGGAAGTGTTGATAAGATACAGATTTCTGGACCTCACCTTCGGAATTTCTTATTCAGGTTTTGGGCGGTGACTTAAAATTTGCATTTTTATCAAGTTCCTGGGTCATTCTCTTGGCCTGGGACCAACTTTGAGAATCACAGATTTATTAAAGCAATATATTTCCATTGTATACTGCTGTAACCACATTCTATAAATTTTGGTATATAGTGTTTTTATTATCATTCATTTCTAAATATTTTCTCATTTATGATTTCTTCTTTGGCCCATGTAGTATATTTAAAAAATGTATGGCATTGTTATCCTTTGTTACTGATTTCTCATATCATATTGTGGGCAGAAAACACAATCTGTATAATACATATTATTTGGTATGTGATGATATTGGCTTTGTGGAGTAGAGTACATAGTCACCTGGCTCTTCAAAGCCATTATTTCTTCAAACATTACCTTTCTTGCATTCTCTCTATTTCCTCCTTCTTGAACTTTTGTTTGATTTCTTTTTTCTTCTTTATGACTTTTAATCTTTTTCATTTTTCCATACTTTTAACTGTCCAAGGTGCATTCTAGATATATCTTCTAGTGTGCAAATTTTATTTTTAGCCGTGTGTATTCTGATATTGAACTATCTATTGAGTTTTTATTTTCAATGACTTCATTTCTCATTTTTAGAAATTACATTCAGATCACTTTCAAATGTTCCTGTTCTTGTTAATAATGTCTTATTATTTATTTATGGTTCTAAATCTTTGTTTTAGATCTTTAATAATTTTAAATATGCTTTTTCAGTAGTGTTTATTATATTGTACTTTTAGAAATCATCTTAGAAATCTAATTGTACTTTTTTTGTGTGTGCTAATCCTCATTTAAATGATTGTTTCCTTTGTGCTTTCTAATTATGAATGTTGAGGTCATATTCACTTAGAATTAGCTGCGGGAGTCTTGAGAGGCCTGTGTTGAGAGCATGTACCTTCAAAGCAGCCTTCCATATGTTTCTGCAAGGGCAACGCATTCTAGGAACATCATACACTCAGGATTAGGCACTCTCGGAATTGCATATACCCAGGACAAATTCTTATATCAGTTTTTTGGTTTGGGGGTTTCCTAATAATGTTAATTCAATTCTGTGGAATTGTCTGTGTATAAACTCTTTTTTTAAAATTATATTTTATTGTTTATTCTATTATAATTGTCCCAGTTTTTCCCCCTTTGTTTCCCCCTTTGTTTCCCCCTTTGTTCCCCTCCAAACAGCTTCCCCACCCCCTCAGGCAATCCTGACACCATTGTCCGTATTCATGGATCATGTACATATGTTCTTTGACTACTCTATTCCCCAGGCTGTACTTTACATCCCCATGACTCTTCTGTAACTACCAACTTGTACTTAAGTCCTTTTAATTTACCTTTTTTTGTACCTCCTTTCATCCCCCTCCCATCTGGTAACCATCAAAATGTCCTCTGTGTCTGTGATTCTGTTTCTGTTCTACTTAATTGTCTATTTTGTTTTTTAGCTTCAATTGTTTATAGATATATACTTGTTGCTATTTTATGGTTCATACTTTTGAATTTCTTCATCTTAAAAAAAGACCCTTTAACATTTCATGTAATACTGGTTTGATGGTGATGAACTTCTTTACCTTTTTCTTGTCTGGGAAGCTCTGTATATGTCCTTCTATGCTAAATGGTAACTTTGCTGGGTAGAGGGATTTTGGTTAGAGGTTCTGCTTTTCATCACTTTAAATATTTCTTGCCAATCTCTTCTTGCCTGCAAAGTTTCTTTTGAGAAATCAGCTGACAGTCTTATGGGAGCTCCCTTGTAGGTACTTAGCTGGTTTTCTCTTGCTGCGTGTAGGATTCTCTCTTTGTCTTTAACCTTTGGCATTTTAATCATCATGTGTCTTGGTGTGGGACTTTTTGGGTTCATCTTGTTTGGGACTCTCTGTGCTTCCTAAGCCTTTGTGTCTATTTCTTTCACCAAGTTAGGGGAGTTTTCTGTCATTTTTTCAAATAGGTTTCTAATTTCTTGCTCTACCTCTTGCTTCGCTTTCTGACACCCCCATGATGAAAATGTTAATATGCTTGAAGTTGTCTGAGAGGCTCCTTACACTATCCTTATTTTTTTGGATCTTTTTTTCTTCTTGTTGTTCTGATTGGTTGTTTTTTGCTTCCTTACATTCCAAATTGCTGATCTGATTCTTGACTTCATCCACTCTACTGTTGATTCCCTGTAAATTGCTCTTTATTTCAATTAGTGTATCCTTCATTTATGACTGGATTTTTTTATGCTGTTGAGATTCTCACTAACTTCATTGAGTATCCTTATAACCAGTATTTTGAACTCTGCATCTGGTAGATTGCTTATCTCCATTTTGTTTAGTTCTTTTTCTCAAGTTCTCTTCTTCCATTTGGGCCATGTTCCTTCATCACCTCATTTTGGCAGCTTTCCTGTGTTTGTTTCTATGTATTAGGTAGAGCTGCTACAACTCCCTGTCTTGGTAGCATGTCCTAATATAGTAGGTGTCCCATAGGGTCCAGTGGCACAGCCTCCTTTATAAAATTTTAAGGGAGATTCCTTTTTCCCACTCAGAGTGAAGATTAAAAGGATTTTTGTCCTTTCTGTCTGCCAGTCAGTAAGTTTTGCTATAGTCTATTATTTTTAATGACATTACGTTCCTTTGAAAGCCTGGATCAGCAATCAGAGTATACCGAAACCCACGCCAGCAGTAGAGCAACCCAGAATCAAGCTGATTCATATGCAGAGCTCTGAAAACTTAGAGATTTGAAGTACCGCATTACTCTGAAAATGGGTAAAATAATGCTAAATACAAGAATATTGTTTGAAAGTCTGTAGAGCAAGAAGTTAGATTATCCCATCTCCCTCTCTGAAAGAAACTGTAGCTATATCCTCTAGAGAGGCTGTACCTGAGGGTCTTTGGACTGGGAGACACCAGGTGCAACTAAGGATAGGGATGATGTACTAAATACTAGAACATTAATTCAAAGTCGGAACATTGAAGAGGCTCACACCAGTACATTACCCCCTGTACTGTGAGAACACCAGTGGCTGCTCATACCTCCCTGGCAGAGTTTGAAAGAGTCTTCTCCAGAGAAACCGACCAACTCAAAAGAAAGAAAATCTGTCAGAGGGTGGAACCCTATATTAGACTGTTTGGGCTGCTATAACAGAATTCCACAGACTGGGTGGCTTAAATAAGATAAATTTATTTTCTTACAGTTCTGGAATCTGAAAGTCCAAGATCAAAATGGCAGCAAGGTTGGTTTCTGGGGAAGCCTCTCTCCTTGGCTTGCAGATGACTGTCTTCTCTCTGTGTGTGCCTTTCTTTCGTGCGTGTATACAGAGAAAAAGAGGTTTCTGAAGTTTCTTCCTCTTCTTATAGAGACACCAGTCCTATTGGATTAGGGCCCCACTCTTATGACCTCATTTAATCTTAATTACCTCCTTAACAACCTTAACTCCAAGTATAGTCACATTGGGGGTTAAGACTTTAATTTGTGAATTTGGG